TTTGACGTTGCATCAGAGTGTAATCACGGGAACCAAAATAATTGTCCAGTCGACTGATTGCATTGGAATATGGATGGATATCTGAGTCAGGGATGCCTTCTACAGTAACGGTGCCATTAAGAATGTCTAGCAGTTTCGGCCCTGCCTTGATTTTAAAAATGCTCATCTTAATATGCTCCTCGGTTACTCTAACGAGTTGCATCGATGCCTCTAAAAGATCCTTCCATTGCTCAAATGATTTCTTATCTATTTCTTCCTCTCCCGTAATAGGCTTACAATCCGGTACATTTAGTGTGGCAAAAGACAAGTTGTTCATAGATGATTGTAACGCTGACTCGTTCATTTTTGATTCATCCTCTCGCATAGTAGAGTGCCCCACCAAGAAATCATTTTTGTCCTTGTTTGCTTGCATGGACTTTTCCAAATACAGGTTGTCCAACCTGGAACGTTTTAATTTCTTTGCTAGAACAGCAGTCCGTTTCCTTTCAGCTATCAATGCTTTCTTTAAAACAACATTTTTTTTCATTTTTGAAAATGTTTTTCTAAAAATGAAAGTTAAAATTGTAAACCATTGTTTAATGTGTACTTAATTTGAACGTCATGAAAATATCGTACAATTCAGTAGTCAGCATAAATAATTTATAATCAAGTTACGTAGCTATACTTTTTATTTCAAAGACTACAATATTCAACCTGCTTTATTTTTATTTTTAAAGCGAAGCAACTTAATCATCTTTATAAAAAAAAACAATACCCAGGCCTCTCAAAGGCAACATACAATTCTTTTTGATGTATATTGTTATTTACGATCCTCACAGATTCTCAATTTGAGCCACTCAATGCTTACAATATTCCGGAATCTCCATGGAGTTGCATGTAACTAAACAGCCACACATAACTGATTTAATTATTTTCATTAAAATATAAAACATACAGGCATCTCAGAGCAGATAACTATTTTTTATTTAGCATCTTGTATATTAGTTACAAACAAATTTACAATTGGCGAGACTCGAATCTCAAAATAATTACATGATCATTTTATTATTCAGACCTCTTTAGTCACACAGAGCTGATTTATGTATATTTATTTATTCAAAAATAATCATATTCAGGCAACTTAAAGCCTTAAGCCACACGGAGCTAATCATTATGCAGACCTAAGTCTTCAGCAACACAGAGCTGATTTATTTATTTTCATTCGTTCAAAAACATCATTCAAGCAACTCAAAGCCAGTATATCATATCATTGATCATAAACAAAAGTACAATCGGAGATACTCAAATCTCACGATATTCGGGCAACTCAGAGCCTTCAGCCACACGGAGCTTATCATTATTTAGACCTCTCTAAGTCTTCAACAACCCAGAGCTGATTTATTTATTTTCATTAATTTCAAACTATTATTCAGGCAACTCAGAGCCAATATACCATATCCTTGTATTAAAAATAACAAACGGAGACACTCAAGTCTCACAATATTCAGGCAACTCGGAGCCTTAAGCCTCACGGATCTAATCATTATTTAGACCTCTCTAACTCTTCAGCAACACAGAGCTGATTTATTTATTTTCATTTGTTCAAAAACAACATTCAGGCAACTCAGAGCCAATTTACCATATCCTTTAAACAAGACATAGTAAATTCTGGAAAACCACATACACACTAGCACCGTGTAGTGAGAAAATTTTGAACTTCTGTCGATAACCCAAAAGTCTTTGACCAACTGAACATATTGATCATAACCAAAGTTACAATCGGAGACACTCAAATCTCACAATATTAAGGCAACTCAGAGCCTTAGCCTTCAGCCACACGGAGCTTATCATTATTTAGACCTCTCTACGTCTTTAGCAACCCAGAGTTGATTTGTTTATTTTCATTCGTTCAAACATATTATACAGGCAACTCAGAGCCAATATACCATATCCATATCCACATTGATCAAAAACAAAAATTACATTCGGAGACACTCAAATCTCACAATATTCAGGCTAGGCAACTCGGAGCATTAAGCTTCACGGAGCTGAACATTATTTAGATCTCTTAGTTTTTAGTAAAACAGAACTAATTTATTAATTTCCATTTATTTTTTACTAACATTTTCTTGCAAATTAACAGAAATGTTTTTTATTGCAATTAGCATTTTTATATTCTTCACATAAAAATACAATTGAAGAACATTGAATCCTACAAACATATAACTGCCATTACATAAAGGTCTCTCCGGACCTACTGCCACATATAGCTGATTTGATTATGTGCAATAAAACAGCCATTCCTATCTCAATAAATAAACTATATGTTAAACAGCTCAGCACTCACCATAACAATATTCAGACAACTTCAGATCCTACAAACAATTTTTGTTATGAATGACATCATGTTTGATTTGCAATCACATCCAAGTTTCATTTCCATTAGCCACTCTAAGCTCACTATTTTCAACGATTAGATTCACTCAATGTGCTTCCTTCAATTTATTGCAACAGTTTTGGCGAATTCACTTTGTATCCTAAAATTATGTCATTTACTGCTGATGCTTCTATACGTCACTACCTAGTTTTTATTTATCACACCAATAAAGCCATTCAGAGCTTAATGATTCATTCTGTTATTTATTTCTTCTGCCACCAGCCGTATGTATTTTCACTATTGTTCATGTCATCATCGTCATTACGCACTTGAATTATCACACACATTCAAAAACGACGCACTAAGTAGGGCATATAATGGTGTTTTCTATGGAAGCATACTGCAGCAGGATCAAATACCGTTACTTGACTAGGGTGGCTATAGCAACGCCAAACAATTTATTTGCCTCGGCCAAAAATTAAAAGCAAATCCTGTTGTTTGTTCAAGGTTGCAATAGCAACGCTAAATAACTTTTTTACATTGAGAAAAAATTTAGCTTATTTTCACAGTTAATCATAATGGCACGTAACCTTGCATTGCAAACATGTTATTTCTTATTAACGTGAATCAAGATCCGTTTTCGTCAAATTTCATTCGCTTTTTGAAGTTACTGCACAAGAGAAAAAAAATGTTCAGGGTTGCAATTGCAATGCCAAAACCGTGTTTTTTTTAATTTTAGTTAAATCGAAAAATGTCTTACAGTCAATCATAACGGAACATTACATTAACACATAAATTGAGCACATTTATCGGAGTCACATGGAACATTGCATTATTGCTAACCGGAATCAAAATCCTTTTTTTTTTAGAAAATTTCACTTACTTTTTGGAAGCACCTGCGCCAATGTCGTGACCGGACTCGATTTCTGGACCATCCATTTCCAAGCGGCTTTATTTGGAACCTTCTTTCTTTTTTTTTCTTGTTTTCACCAAACAGACGACTTTCTATGTTTTGCTTCCGTTCGTTACGAACTCACTCTTAAGACTGATTTATTGTGTCCTTTTTATCAACTAGCCTACTATTGATTTCACCGATCATTTTCTTTACCTCAACCGATATATTTCGCCTACTATCGATCTCTAATGAATGTAAGCATAACAACCGATATATTTATCCTATTCTCTACACTTAGGTATAAAAATGAAACTACAATGTGTTGAATCGGAACCTACCTAACTAATAAAAACCAAAGATTTAAGTAAGCTAAAGGAGAAAAATCTATACAACTCTTTAATAAGGAAAATCCCCAAAGGCTTGGTAGCCATCATAATGAAGTAATGAAATTGGGTTGTTAGCGGAATGCTAAATAAAACAGCAAAAAAGGTTATCTTCCATTTAATTCCACTTAATTAATTTTGGTATCCATGACAGATACGTATTTCGACTACAATGTGCAGTCTTCATCAGTGTCATTCCCACTAAAGAACTTATCAAAATCTAACCCCCTTAAGTACTCATCCCCTAGGTAAAAAAAGTCAAAAAAAAATTTAATTGTTTTTCATACAGAACTGATAGGTGAGCTGAGATGAACTAGCTGTTCGCGATTGAAGCGAACGTAATGTGTTGTAGAAGTAGTAGTAGTAGTTGTTTTGTGTAATCGCCCTAACCACTTACCCAATCCTTTAAAACTCTACTAACCCCGAGGCGACCGCGGGTAATCGGTTTCCGAAACTAACCCTAATGTTACATGTGTAATTTGTATCAAGACCCTGAAAAACAAGCTTTGATCATTTCCTTACGCTGCCGCTGGCTTGGCACGAGCATGCAAGCAGCAGCACCGACCGAGCGACGAGCGACCGACCGACCACAAACCAACGAGCGTGCAGCGAGTGCTGATTGGTTATGAATGAAGGAGAAATAAATGAATGCAACATCAAAAAGAAGAAAGCCAAACACATTTAAAGCGACGCATTTTGCGCGTCGCCATCATACAGTCCACAAGCTTTGTAAAGCAAACACCGAAATATAGCGCCGTTGAAAGTTTTAATTCATTCTCGTTTTTCCTCTTTGGACAAGCCGAAGCCAAAACAGTCCTTTTCAGGGCTATGAGTTGAGTTGGATTTCAGTCGAGCTTTTCGTTGTGTTCCTGTTGGCATTCCCACAGGGGGAATTGGCCAAATCAGCTGGAATCCTCCGAGCCGAGGATTGCCACACCATCTCCAGTGTCCGTGATCGGACATTTTTGGTCCTGCCGAACCGGATCCGTGTGATCCCATCCGTTTCTGTTGCAACCGCAACAGCGTTTCGACAATCTGACGATTGTCGAAAAGTTCCTGCCTTTCGTCGCTGTGATCAGCCGATCGGATTTCCTGCTACCTCACGAAAAGCTCGCAGAGTTTTGTTTTAGAATTTTCTTGTGGCTTGGCTAAAAGGAAAACGGCAAGTTTCTTCGAAAGTACAGTCGCGAGTGAAATCGAACCTGTTCGTCGTCGCGTGTGCAAAACAAAACGTACGCGAACGTCTTACGTCGTGCGCAAGTGGTGGAACGTGTTTATTCCTGTCCGTTCCTGCCTACCGTTGTGCAGGTGATCGCTGTGCTTGATGCCAATTCAACACACACCTGTGAAGAACGAAAAGGAGAAGATGGCTGAAGTGAAGACTCTTGTTCACCTTCGTGGGCAAGCGAAGGCCAAAGTGACGAGGATCCGGAAGGCCGTTGAAGAAGCATATGGAGCTGGAGCAAGGCAATTGAGTATGGTGCAGCTGAAAGTCTTCACACGCAATTTGGAAATGCACTACCAGGAGTATTGTGATATTCATCGGCAAATCGTCGCTTTGACTCCCGCCGAAAAACTAGTGGACCAGGATGAAACGTACATCCTATTCGAAGACCAACACAACGAGGTTTGCATGTTGGTCGAAACATTAATCCAGTTGATGACCGAGCCGCAACCTCGTCCGATGCCATCGTCCCAGCGAGAAGGGATTCCTCGCATCATCGTACAGCAGCAACCACTCAAGGCTCCCATTCCCACCTTCGATGGTAAACCCGAGAACTGGCCACGTTTCAAGGCCATGTTTCTCGACGTCATGAGAACATCCACCGATTCCGACGCCATCAAACTTTACCACCTTGATAAAGCGTTGATTGGTAATGCCGCTGGAATCATCGACGTCTGCACCTTGAACGAGAATAATTATGCCGGAGCATGGGAGCTGCTGGAAGAACGTTTTGAAAACAAGCGGCTCATCGTAGACACACACATCCTGGGGCTGCTTAGCCTGAAGAAAATGAACCGAACAAGTGCCAAGGATCTTCGGGAATTAGTCGACGAAGTATCCCGACACATCGATGGATTGAAGCTCATGGATGAAGTGATGAACGGTATGTCGGAGCGTTTCGTTGTCAACCTCTTGGCAACAGCTCTGGATGCCAAAACCCGGATGGAATGGGAATCAACCGTTCCCCACAAGCAAATTCCCACGTACAAGGACACGATGGAGTTCCTAAAGAAGCGCTGCGCAATCCGGGAGCGGTGCGAGGATGCGATCGTGAAGCCGCCCGTTACGAAGCCATCTGTACCAAGCAAGAATCAAGTGAAGAGCATCTCTACCAAAGCTTTTGCTGTCACCGGAAAGGAGTCCTGTGACGTGTGTGGAACTGGAGCCCACCCGAACTTCAAGTGCGAGATCTTCCGAGCGATGACCGTCGTGCAACGCCAAGCCAAGGTAAGAGAGATCAAAGCTTGTTTTAATTGTTTGAAAGTGGGTCATTTAAGTAATTCGTGTACATCGTCATATACGTGTTCTAAATGCAAGGGTAGACACCATACCCTTCTGCATAGTGATAAACCGGTTTTCCAGTCCACCTCGAAATCCAATGTCTCGAACGCTGAATCTCAGTCTGTTTCTGAGGTTTCACAGTCAATTTCGAAGTCTCAACCTTTTCCTGATGTTTCGCAGTCTGCCTTGAAATCGAATGTCCCAAATGTGCAATATCAATCTGTTCCCAAGGAATCCCAGTCCAATAGTGCAGTCTCGCGTTCACTGAAGCAACCCCCACGTCTGAGTCATAGTTTGTTGATGACCGCTAGGGTTCAGATTAAGGATTCGGATGGAAATCTGAAATACTGTCGAGCATTTTTGGATTGTGGTTCCCAGGCTCACCTTACTTCTCGTAGTCTGGTTAAGTCTTTGAATCTACCCCGTTTCTCCACTAACGTTGAGGTAGTCGGAGCAAATGGTCAGCGTTCAACGCTATCTGAGATGGTAAGAATTGAGATACGTTCTTGTAATTCTAACTATGCTGCGCAACTTGAGTGTCTTGTTGCTGACAAAGTTACTGGCCCTATGCCATCTGTTCCATTTGATATAAGGAAGTGGAACATCCCTCCGAATCTTCCACTTGCAGATCCTGAATTTCATATTCCTGGTGAAATTGACTTGCTGATTGGAATTCAGTTGTTTTTCAAATTATTGCTGCCAGGTCAAGTCAAGATGGCTGATGAACTTCCAATCCTCCAAGAAACTCGGCTTGGATGGGTTGTTGCTGGTTCTATCGAAGAGTCTCATGTTGCACAACATTGTTACTCTGTGGGTCTGCAAAGTCTTGCTGAATCTATGGAAAAGTTTTGGTCGATTGAATCCGTGGATTCATGTAATCCTCTCACCAATGAAGAACAGTTGTGCGAAGAAATTTTCTGCTCCACAACCCATCGCGACCAGAATGGTCGTTACATTGTTCAGTTGCCCCTGAAAGATTCTATTCATCGGGTAGAAGACAATCGTTCGATTGCTCTTCGTCGATTCTTCATGCTGGAACAACGGTTCCTGAAAAACCCTGAGCTGAAAAAACAATATGCAGAGTTCATCAATGAGTACAAATCCCTCGGTCACTGTATTCAGATTGATGAGTCTCAAGATCCTCCAAAGCTTTTGAAGTATTATGTCCCTCACCATGCGGTTTTGAAGCCTACGAGCTCTTCAACGAAGCTCAGAGTTGTGTTTGATGCTTCATCGAAGGGTAATGGACCTTCCCTGAATGATGCTTTGATGATCGGACCAGTGGTCCAAGAAGATATCTTAACGATTAACCTGCGTTTTCGTAAGCATCGGTTCGCCTTCTCTGCTGACGTTAGTAAAATGTACCGGCAAATAGCACTCGCCAGAATCCACACTTCTTTGCTTCGAATTTTCTGGAGAGAAAATCCAAATGATCCCTTACAAGTTTTGGAATTAACAACAGTAACCTATGGTACATCTTCTGCGCCATTATTAGCCACAAGGGCACTTCAGCAGCTTGCTATTGATGATGGTGATCAATTTCCGATTGCAGCCAAGATCGTTCTTGAAGATTTTTATGTTGATGATGTTCTGTCTGGGTCTGAAACCATAGAAGGGGCCATCCAATGTCGTCTCGAGCTAACGGAGCTACTCCGAAAAGGGGGATTTCCCATTCATAAGTGGTGTGCGAATGACTCAGCGATTTTGGAGTCAGTTCCAGAAGAAGAAAGGGAAAGGTTCTTGTCTTTTGAAGATGCGAATATTAACCAGGCCATCAAGATACTTGGACTTCTTTGGGATCCGACTGAGGATGTATACCGATTCCACGTGGAACTACCAAGTCTTTCCAGCTCTCCTCCTACCAAACGGAATGTTCTCTCGCAGATCTCTAAGCTATTTGATCCCCTTGGTCTTGTATCACCTGTAATAATAGTTGCTAAGGTGATAATGCAGCAAATCTGGATGAGTAAGCTGAATTGGGATGATGTTTTGGATGGTCAGTTGATGCAAAATTGGACCATATTTCGTGATTCTCTAAATCACATCCACCAAATAAGAATTCCCCGGTATATGTGTGCCCCTGATGATGTTTATGTTGAAGTTCATGGCTTTGCCGACGCTTCTGCCTTTGCGTATGGAGCATGTCTTTATATCCGAACCGTAACCCATGATGGGGTAAAGGTATCTCTTGTCTGTAGTAAGTCGAAGGTCATTCCAATCAAAGGATTGACGATTCCCCGATCCGAACTGTGTGCTGCATTGTTGCTAATCAGTTTGGCCATGAAGGTTCTTCCGGCAATTAAGATGAACTTCCACTCAATCCATTATTGGTCGGATAGTCAGATCGTTCTTTCATGGTTAAAAAAGCCTCTATCTCAACTTGACGTTTTTGTTCGCAATCGAGTTGCAGAAATTGTTGATCATTCTGTTGATGCTAATTGGAATTACATCAAGTCGTCCGAAAACCCAGCTAATGTTGTCAGTCGTGGTCAACCCTCCCAACTCCTTGCCTCGAACGAACTTTGGTGGAACGGACCTCCGTTTCTGCGAAGTCATAGCTATCAGATTGATGAGCTTAATCCTCTTCCCGATGATAAACTACCGGAATTGAAACCAATAACCGCGTCTACTGCCGTTCTTGTTCCTGAAACCATCCCAGTTATGACTGCCTTTAGTTCATTCCGAAAGCTTCAGCAAGTGATTGGATATGTGAGGAGATTTGTTGTGAATGCAAGGTCTCCCAAATCGGAACGCATCACTTCGGATTACCTAACTGTGCGAGAGTTGAAAGAGTCATTGAATTTGATTGTCAAGTATATTCAAGGAGTCGCATTTTCTGACGAAATTCGTCGGCTTGAATCAGGTGAACCTTTGCGTCGACTCAGTAGTCTGAATGTTATTATGAATGATGGTGTGTTGAGAGTGGGTGGAAGACTGAAGCATTCATGTTTGCCATATGGTTCAAAGCACCAAGCCGTACTCCCTGACAAAAACCCAATTGTCGAATCGTTGCTAAGAGCAATGCACTGCGAAATGTTGCACATTGGTCCGTCTGGTCTCGTTTCGTTGGTCCGCCAGAGATTCTGGCTTCTGAATGCTCGTTCTGTTGTCAGGAAAATCATCCGGTCTTGTGTTACATGTTTCCGATCCAGTCCGAGGTTGCTCCAAACCTCTCATGGTATTTTCCGCCGCCCAATCTCGAAGTTGGCCCCTTTACCCTTTGATTCAACCCAGCCCTCTGTTGTTCATCAAGTTCCTCTTTGCCCGGGGGGAGAATGTTCGCGATTGAAGCGAACGTAATGTGTTGTAGAAGTAGTAGTAGTAGTTGTTTTGTGTAATCGCCCTAACCACTTACCCAATCCTTTAAAACTCTACTAACCCCGAGGCGACCGCGGGTAATCGGTTTCCGAAACTAACCCTAATGTTACATGTGTAATTTGTATCAAGACCCTGAAAAACAAGCTTTGATCATTTCCTTACGCTGCCGCTGGCTTGGCACGAGCATGCAAGCAGCAGCACCGACCGAGCGACGAGCGACCGACCGACCACAAACCAACGAGCGTGCAGCGAGTGCTGATTGGTTATGAATGAAGGAGAAATAAATGAATGCAACATCAAAAAGAAGAAAGCCAAACACATTTAAAGCGACGCATTTTGCGCGTCGCCATCATACAGTCCACAAGCTTTGTAAAGCAAACACCGAAATATAGCGCCGTTGAAAGTTTTAATTCATTCTCGTTTTTCCTCTTTGGACAAGCCGAAGCCAAAACAGTCCTTTTCAGGGCTATGAGTTGAGTTGGATTTCAGTCGAGCTTTTCGTTGTGTTCCTGTTGGCATTCCCACAGGGGGAATTGGCCAAATCAGCTGGAATCCTCCGAGCCGAGGATTGCCACACCATCTCCAGTGTCCGTGATCGGACACTAGCCTACGGCTGAAAATCTCATAAATAAAGAAATTAAAAAAAAAAATGCTTGGTGGGATGTTGATCTATCATTTAGTGCATATAGTTGCAGCTTTAAATGGTCAATGATTATATTACCACACTGACGCGTATAACAACCAGGTACACCATATCGCTATCGGTTCGTAACTATATGCTCACTCGATAGGCACACTGAGGCAGAATCTACTTTTGTAGAACAAAAATCTTTGCGCGCCACTCATGCGTCTTATTGCTGTCTTGGGCAAAGTTGGTCGGGTGGATAAGGGCTTTCTGTTGAAATAATTTTAGCCCTTTCAAGGCAAACTGGTTAATTATGGGATGACTAAAGGAGATAACATCTAGTCAGCCGGGTAAAATGCTTTTATTTTAATGAAATAAAAAAAGTAGTGTAAATTTCCGTTACTATGATGCACATATATGGAGCGTCATATATCATACAAGTTTAGATTATAGATCGTGTATATTTGAGAGAAATGTCATTCAATATTCCATATATTGTATGCAACTGTCCACTTTTGTTTGCAACATTTCTTGCAAGTTGCTTGTTTACGTGAAAATGAAGTTTACATGTATGAATGTTTGCATGCATGGATGTTTACATCGCCAGTAAAATTCAGAATTTTTTGGTGTGTTGACCAAAAGCGAATCCTAATGATACCTATTCTATCTGATGGTTTTATTAACAGATAGAATAGGTATTTCATTAGGATTGTCCATAAAACTGCAAAACGTTTTCGAGACATTGTTTGACTAAACATTATTTGTGTTTAAAACGTAAAATGTTTTTGTTTACGGATTCGATCAAAATTTTAGAGTATCTAATTCAAAGTAAGCTGTGAAATTCCGTCGTTTTAAAAAGAGCTATCAAAAGTTGAAAAAAGCCACTTTGTCGAAGAAAGTTTTTTGCTACAATGCTTCTGTAAAAAGATAGTTGTAGCGCCATCTGAACAGCGAGATCTGGAACTAAACTAATTATGTCAATAGAAGGCTCTTATCCACCCTAACAACTTTACCGAAGAAGTATCTATTATATTATCTATTATGGGGCTTCCCTTAGCTCAGTCGGTAAAGCAAGACCACACACTTTTTTTTTTTTTTCCTTTGGTTTGTTTTTTCCGTCGATCTTGTTTTCCGTGCTGAGCACCAATGCTACCGACGTGCCAGGAAGGCAGCTCTCCCACACCTGGACCCTACCTATCGACTAAGGTGCTTCGAGACTGCAAAGTTCATTGCTCGACGAAAAGTTCATTGCTCGACGAAAAGTACGTTCGATTGAGCTGAATTTCGCGTCTATTATTGTTCAACTTTATATCACAATTGACGCTCGTATATGTCAGTCTCAGAGCACATAAATTTAAACGATTTTTTCTAAGTGTGCATGCTAGAGGTGGCTGGGTTCGATTCCCGGTTCAGTCTAGGAATTTTTCGGGATGGAAAAATTCTCGATTTTCCTGGGCATAGAGTATGATTGTACTTGCCACACAATTATACTAATGAAAAAATGATACAGGCATCAAAAGCCCTCAATTAAAAACTGTGAACGTAAACCAGTAAAATTTTCGTCGTATTACGTAAAGTTAGGCTTCCTTACATATTCAAAACAGTGGACTATAGCAATGTATAAAAAACAAAAAGGTTTTCATTATAACTCCTGCATTTTCACCAACTCAGAATACAAGGCTGATTTTATATAAGCGGATAAAATGAACATGTAATGGGGATAAAATGAACTTACAGACGGGGTAATATGAACAGATGCTGGGGGTAAAACTACCATGTGATGGGGGCATATTGAACACACAGAGGGAGTAATTTGCTCCGGTGCTGGAGGTAAAATGAACATTATTTTATATTGTAAGCTTTCAACGATAAGGTAAACTGTAAATCTTCAACATAGCTTTTGAAAAAACAATGTATACAGGTAGGAATAAACGTTTTCAAAATAAATATAACATTAAATACGCGGGATGGAGCCCCGTAGCGTGGGTAGATCACCTTTTCGTGGTACGTTACGGGATGTAAGATCTACCACCGATTCATAGTCCTGACTACTTCAAACTAGGGGAGCAGGATTTTTCAGTAAACCAAGGAACACATCTTAGTTCTTGTTACTTTTTATGCCTTGTTGATAGTGACAAGACTCGGCTTTGTCTACCGAGGATGATCTTGAAACAAGGAAAAAATGAGTTAGTTGTCTTCATCTTTGTAATTCCTAATCTCCTATTCGTTGTTCCCTAGTTTGAAGTGGTTAAGACTAGGGTTCTGATGCATGGTCATTATGGGTGTCATTCCTTAATTTTGTTGGTAAGGATTCCAATTTTGACTGACAAAGGGGCGCGCCTTTGGAGGGTGTTTCAATACTCCGAAGGGTATAAATAGCGGGACCTTTCAATTAAAGTCGGATTCTTGCGATAAATGCGAGAATGACAACTGTAAAAAAATCGAATACTTCATCATTTCTCAATAGTGATGGAGTAATACGACATGCACTAAACTAAGGACACGGGATATACTACAATAGATCAAATAACTGGTCGCAGTGGTGTTAGGTCCCGAACAGAGGAAAAAAAATGCGGGATGGAGAAAGCGCCCACGGACACTTTGTTAAAACCTCTTGCTTGAGTCGCAGATGTAGCTTCAGGTTTCCGAAAGGAAAGGGTTTGATTCCGCTTTGGAAACCTCTCTAGCCAGGTTCTACTTGCCATATTCAGTTTGTGACTGAACGGATGAGGTGAGCCGTTCCGTTCAGCTAACTTCTACGCCAGCATTTGCACATCCCTCATAGTAATGCCAAAGAATCGGGACTCCAGATCAAGCAAATATAGCATCAGTTCCATTTCATGTTCAGTAGAGAACACCGATGTAATAAAATATGTATGGTTATTTTGCTTAACAACTTTTTCACGGTATCATCCAAACCATTTTTGGAATAGTTATTTGGGTTATCGTTTGGGTATGGTATTTTTTATTAGGGTTTCTTCTTCTACCTGGTGAGTGTGATCTTTGAGATATGGTACTTAGTAGATGCATTTCACATGCAACGGCATGTGTGTCTTTAAATGTCTGTCTTTGCGGTTTTCAATTATAAACCCGAGGCATCCGAAAAATAGATCATGAATAGACAAAATTTTAATTTTATCCCCCAAAGTATCAACTATTTTCGAGTGCTAATTTAAAACGCATAATTGATGAAAACACTTACAATCTTCGATAAATCCGCAGGAATACGACAAATTAACGAAATTCATGGATATATTTTATTGGACTTTGATTGTTAACCTTCAAAAAGCTAATGCTCTGCGAGCGAAAATAACTATCACAGTCCGAATCGAGCAGGTGATTTTGTTTATATTTACTTTTCTTCACATTATCCCGACAATTGCTACCCGTCCTAACTACCTAAACCCGCTGTTATGTTATGGTTGTTTCCGTTATGGTTGTTTCCGTTATGTTTATCCGCGTGTCCGTTGTCCTGGTCCACGACGTTGTCTGCATTGTTCCGCCGAGCGCAATGTTGAAGAGAATGAGGAATGTGGAGAAGCTGCCCACTGCATTAACTGTGGAGGACCGCATCGTCCGAACAATCGCCAGTGCCCCGTTTACAAAAAGGAAACGGATGTTATCCGTATCAAGGTCGATCGCAATCTTACTTACCCGGAAGCACGCAAGCAGGTTGAAGCAGGAGTGAGAAGCTACGCAGCAGCAGCAGCCCAGCCAAGTGCAGATCGTCAATAGCTCGAACAACTCGAGAGAGAGATGACGAAGAAAGACGCCCAGATCGCTAATCTGTTGGAAGCAATGAAGCGAAAGGACGAGAAGATCAACAAGCTGATTGCCAGCAAGTCAGACCCCCTTATTCTGCGAGTCACGTGACTCTCTGTCACCGGTGAGGTGACAATTGTCACCTCACCGGTGAGAGAGAGTCACGTGACTCGCAGAATAGGGGGGAGAGAGTCGCGAGCAGCGGGACCATCCATGCATCTAAGGACCCGCTCACCTGCAGTTGTAGAACCGGAACACAGTCAACCTGGGAAGAAAAAAAAAGCGCAACAAGTCGAATATCACATCACCCGGTCACCAAAGTCCTCCATTGAAAAAAGTAATAGCCGAGCAAAACCCATCGCACACCCCTCACCATCCCTCTCCAAAGGGGGAGTTTGGTAAAGAGAGATGATAAAATTGATTTTTACCTTCCTAAAAGTTGTCTAGCTCGCTTTCTACTTCTATATGCAATTTTCACACTGCCGTGCTTTAGCCGGAACTATCAATTCTATACTTTCATTTCCTTATCTATCGTATAAAAATTACCACGTTAGTCTGGGGGGGTTATTCCGAGAGTCGAAGTGACTTTTGTCACCAGTGAAGTGAGGAAAGTCACGTCGTGGTGACGTGACTCTCCATTTGATTTGCACAGAGAGTCACGTCACCACGACGTGACTTTTCTCACTTCACTAGTGACAAAAGTCACTTCGACTCTCGGAATAACCCCCTGTTATTTGAAATTAGCATCTTCAACTATAGTATTCATTATTTCTTGAACATTATGTTTTCTTATAGACTAATGAGAATTATAGTCAACGAAAACAATATGTATCAACATAATATCTCATTTTTATAAAGCCGTTTTCTTTGGAACACCCGCCGTAACAAGGTTTGTTTTGATTTTGGCTCTAAAATCAAAGTTTGATATTCTTATGCTCACCGTTTGTTCGCCGTTTGTGCTTGGGTACTCAAAGCAATTGAATGAATAATTCGTGTTTGCTTGAACAGTAACAGTAAAAATCGAGTTCAATAAGCGATGGAAATTGTTCGATACTGTAGCTCACCGGATGTTGGACCTTCACTAGCTGTTTGGATGCAAACAGCGGATGTTGAAACAAATCTACTCGTGTTTCATTCCCACAGCCGACACGACGATAGGTTTGAAACAGGATAGAACTCAATGAATCAGATGATTTCAAACTAGATAGCACAGGTTATGTTTTATCTGGTGGCACGTGTTTTCAACTATATTTTTCCAAAACAGCAATTGTTATCGAACAAAAGATGCAGTTTATGTCACTTATGTGTACTGCTCGCTTTCTGCTTCTAGTTGTTTGCTTTTATCCCAGGGTACATATAACTGTCTATTCCACTTCCGCTTCCGGATTTCGATGAATGCGATGCCGTTTGAGTTTTATTTATTTTATAGAACATCGATACGAGAATAAAACAAATCAAGCTACTTTCAAATTTCATTTCGATTGGATCGTTGTCCAAAAGACACCAGATGGTGCAAAATTGTCTCAATTTCAGCTTTGTCAGCAACAAATCCTATTGGATAGGAACAAACAAATGGGCCATCATACTGTTTGTTTACCGATCTGAAATGAATGAGCCTAGGAATGTGGAACAGAGATTGAAGCAATCATGCTGGTTGGCCAGAATAAGAAAGGAAAAGAAAACAGAAACCGTAAATATGATCAAATAGCATTGTTAAAGGAAATTGAGGAAATTCCATTCATCGAAGCTGCTATGTAACAAACAGTTCAAGCGAGGTAAAACATATCACACCTTGTTGTTGACATCCGCTGTTCCATTTTGTACTATTCTGTATTGATTGTCCTATCAATTGATGTACCGTTAATAAGAAATTAATCAGCAATTTCTGGAAGTAAATATTTACTTTGCACAGCTAAAAAAAAGAAGTGTAAATTTCCGTTACTATGATGTACATAAATGAAGCGTCATATATCATACAAGTTTAGATTATAGATCGTGTAAATTTATGAGACATGTCATGTAATATCCCATATATTGTATGCAACTGTCCACTTTTGTTTGCAACATTTCTTGCAAGTTGCTAGTTTACGTAAAAAGGAAGTTTACATGTATGAATGATTGCATGCATGGATGTTTACATCGCCAGTAAAATTCAGAATTTTTTGGTGTGTGAATAATGCAGGGTGGGTGAGCCAGTGAGGAACTAAGTAATATTTATTTAAAAAAAAACGATATGCATATAATGTTTATACGTAGCGTCGCCTGTAGTGTAGTGGTAAACGTGATAACCTCTCACCCCAGTAGGTCTGGGTTCAATCCCGTCGGCGCCACCGGCATGTCCTGAGACATGACATCTCTGATCACGCCTTCCTTTGGAAAGGAAGTGAAGTCGTTGGTCCCCAGTCCATGAGTTGGTGGGTCGATATGTAGGGAGGTGCCTCCCTGGCATTGGTAGCATTGGTACTTAGTACGGAAAACAAATCAAGAAAAAAAAAGCTCAGCAACTTGAGAGCTCCCATAATTTCAGTTTGGGTCTGAATATTTTCTCTCGCGAAAATATGTTTGATGATTCCTGGTGGACTGAGTTGAATTGAAAAAGTCACTAGAGCCAACAACTAGAGCACTAGTGCCATAACTGGCACACTTACCCTGTGCCCTTGCATGCATGAACTGTGGAGATTCCTCTAATGCAAAGGACTACTGTCCTGTGAAGGAAGATCCTAAAAAAATAAATGTTCAAATTGAAGCGAAAATCACACATCCAAGCGATCCTACAAACTCGTTTCAAACGGCAGGTAGGAAACGCTCCACTTTTCCGAACATATTCCTCTGCTGTTAACAATCTGCTCCTTTCGCTGCTCACTATGTTCAGCGTAGTAGTAAATGGAGCTACCTATGCTGCTATTGCAGCGGGTAGAAATAAAAATACTAGCCAACGTAATTCTAACGAAAATTTTGAAAATGTTGACTTAGGAAGCATAACTGCTCCTAAAATGGAATTTTTACAGAAATCATCATTAATCGACATCATTACTAAAATACTGAAAACTAGCACCATGTTTGATGCTATTCAAACTGGAGTTAAACTTGCGAGCAATATCGTCATGACTTTGAAATTTAGTAATGGATTTTTTTTTCTTGATTTGTTTTCCGTCGATCTTGTTTTCCGTGCTGAGCACCAATGCTACTGACGCCAGGAAGGCAGCTCCCACACATGGACCCTACCTATCGACCCATCAGCTCATGAACCGGAGACCAACGGCTTTACTTCTCTTCCGAAATAAGGCGTGACCAGAGATGTTATGCCTCAGAACATCCCAGCGGCGCCGACTGGGATTGAACCCGGACCTGCTGGGGTGAGATGTATTCACGCTTACCACTACACCACCGGCACCGCTGGTAATGGATTTAAAATTATTAAATATTTTTAATTGTAATGCTCGATCTATTAAAGATAATGTGGACGAACTATTCAACTTTTTAGGAGTTCATAACGTGCATATTTCCGTTATAACTGAAACGTTCCTTTAACCTGACCATAAGGTTAAAAGGGACGCAAATTAAGTCATTTATCGAAATGATCATTTTGATGGAGGTGATGGTGGCGCGTTGCCATCATTGTTGATCTAAAATTTGTGCTGTGTTCCTAAAATTTGAGCTAAGTAGTTGCACCAGCCCTAAAAATATAAAAAATAACGATGCGTCCGCCCCCGACATTGATGACGTTGTTTCAATTAGTTTATTAGATAGAAATAGAAATTACCAATTTGGTTTCTACTTTGCTGTTCAATTTATGCTATAGGTGGTAGATTTATCTTGAGTAGTTATAAATGATGACTGCTGTTAAGATAGCATAAATCAATCGCCAACATAAATGAATAGCAACCATAAAAATATATGTAGAATAATGCAAAATGGCCCAACCCATTTGGCTCTTGTACAAGAAATCTTACTTTCATAAAGGAAACTTTTTTGTAGGAAACCTCGTGAATCCAACCTTTTCCTCAACTACTTTTAGCAAAAGTGGAATACCAAACTCCTCAAGCATGTGTGCGTGTCAATAACACAATCGTCTCTACGCAAATCTTTGAAATAAGAACAAGAGATGTTTGTGCTGTTACAATTGATGTTACCTTTGGAAACCTTAATAGGCAATGCGTTTACTGTTTCAGTGCCAGGTTTTTACGTTTATATCAGGTTCTTGTTTTAGACGCTCTCAAGATCTCGTTACATTACTGTCGAAAGTGTAAAATCAGTTCAGAAAATTTAACACTTTCGGAAGTGAGTCTATCTTTGAGTGATTCAACATTTTCCCTGCTGAACTCATGCTTTTCTGAAGTTATTAAATATGTTATGAGCTGAATACACTGATCCAGTGATTGCAATTTTTCCGTAGCGATTTAAAACTTTTGTAAAGTTCAGTACTATTCGAAGTTATTCTGTACGTGCTTTTTTCGGAAATGGTCCAGTACATTTCAAAGTTATCCTAAGCTTTCTCAAGTTATTCAGTTCTATCTGAAGTGATTCTGAACTTTTCCAAAGTGATCCAAACTTTCCTAATGTAGACAGATCTCGTTTTTGGAAACGTAACTACAGTGCACTATCTACAACTCGAGTTATAGAATTATCGAGTTATAGAATAACCACAGACAAACAGACATACCACTCGCAAGTTGTTCATCGAACAAGCATTTAACGGTTAATTTAAAAGTATCGTAGTTGGTAGTACCACCACCTGTGGCGCCATCTGTTCAGCGTAAATTACCCACGACAGTGTACTCAACAGATGGCGGTAATGTTTTAGCGACGATGTTTTACAGTGAAAAATATTCAATGTGTTATGTCTGTTTGTCTGTGGAATAACAATCCTATGCAAATTCGCTATCGCAGTAGCCATGACACTCATTTTTATTATGGTTATATAACTCGATATCGAGTTAGTGGACATCGAGTTATGGAGAGTTGACTGTGCT